ACTGCTGTTAAATTCAAAGGTGCCCTCTCTTTGTTTTCCCAGCAATGCTAATTCAGTCCCTCAAAGCTGTGGCTTCTTGGAGTAGCCTTAAAGACGACTACACTTGATCTTAGATAAATAATTCTCATTAAACACACCTTTTCCTAAAGTTGCTTTTAATCATGTTGATAGTTCTGATACTGTAATATTTTAACCTCAGGGATGCTTTGTTTTTCATTTATTCTGATGGCCACCATACAGGTTTGACCCCAAACTACGGGTCTGTGATAACCAGCTCTTGTTAAACAACCCCAAAAGCAGCATCTCTGAGACACTGATAACCCTCTCCCCCCGCACTGTGTACCCTCGGCAGTATTTAGAGTTCAGTGTTATGTTACTGTATAAGAATCCCACGCAAGTGGACAGAAATGTGTAAGTTGGAAAGTAACAGTGTTTCAAAAACCCCTCCTAATCTGCAAAGCAAGAAAGCAAACACAGGCATGGGCGCCTACGCTCGCACAGAATACCTTCTTCCCAAATAAACCCTGCCTGTAACATTTCTGGGATTTTTAATGGCAGCTGAGATACAAATGTGTCCGTTTGACATTGGATTTTTTTTGTCACCAAATCTTGTGGTTTGTAAAGTAGACTTTAATGCTGATTTATTGTTGTTGTTCCCGAATATTCCCTCTTTGCTCAGTAATTTATGTTTTAGAAGCAGATCAAGGCACATGCATAGTTTGCGTTCAGACTCTCTTTTTCTCTGGCATGTCTTCTGGCTTCAGAGCGAAATACTGTTGTGGAACTGTAGATGTCAGTTGTGCCAATGCACACATACACTCCCTTTCCGCAATGTTTCCCATGACTCTTAACAAAAGCTCTCTAGCTGCTTAAAAAAATCCCACTCGATATCAAAGCAGTTGGTGCCTACCTTTGCTTTATTTCTGGTGTAAAGTAAGTTTGTTACACTAAAAAGGTTCCAGATATGCTTTATGTGAGATTGAAATAAACCCAAGCATGATTTTATATGCGAAAGCTTCTTACTCAGCAAACTTAATGTGATAAACCAACAGCCACTCTCCTGTGCTTTCAAGTGTGTTTTGGTATATACTGCCTACAGTTTTTTCAACATGAAAAATTGCTATATATGAAGTTCTACTGACTCGGAAAATTAAAATCAAGGTCTGTCCTTTAGGGTAACTCACACTAAAGGAGAAAGTCTGATGCATAAAACTTGCCTCAAAACCTGGCATTCCTGTGCTTGAGCAGCAGAGCTCTGAGACTCTGTTCACTCCGAGAGATACTCTGTTCTTTGCATGGTAGACATCCATTATTTGTTAGTCTTGACACTTAGGCACATTTCCATTCTAAACCCCACACTACATAGTCTGTTTCTGATATTTGCAACTTTATAAACATTAAGTAAAAGGAAAGTCCTTACCTTTTAATCCTGTGCTGGTGGCTTTCTGGTTTATCCTTTACAGAGGAGCTCCTGAGGTTAAACTTCAGTATAATCTGAAAAACATTGTTTTGAATGTTTGCCTAAGCAATGCGTCTAAGAGTGGCATTCCATTAAGTCTTTTCTGCATGCCTTCCGCTTCTAGCTCTTTATATAGTTGTCCAAGGGTTCATCTTCAGCAGCAGTGGTGCGAGAGAAACTGACTTCTGCAACTGCACTAGACAGGCAAATTGATTACTTGCTACTTGGGGAATCTGGTTCTGCCTGTTTGAAACCCAGCCTTGCTGAGAGGCGGATCACTCCTGGAGCTGCCCAGTAGCAGGAAGTGTCTAGGAGCAGCTCCCTAGATAGAGGCCTTGTAAGCTGGAAGTGGAGCACTGCCTGCTCGGGAAGGACAAGTGTAAGGGCAGGGATTGCTTTCTTCCACACTAAAGCGTGAAGGGGAAAGAAAGGAAGCAAGGGTGGGTCATGGATGTATTAATGCATTTTACTCAAAAAGGTAAAAAAAACAGTAGCAAAACGATGCCTTTTATCACAGTACCTTATTTAAACTCCATTTATACGTTAGACCTAAAGGCTGAAGTGGGCAGTGGTGTACAGCAGGGAATGTATGACCTATGCAGAATGTAAGGTGGAGGTGGCTATTTGGGTATGCTGCTTTTCCAGATACAGCACCTCAGCTGTTACTTGTTTTAATTCAGTCAATATTACAACAGGACTGCTGTGGAGAAAATGGAAGCTAATTGACCAAAAAAGCAAATCTTACACCTCTCAAGGTATCAGATGTTAAAAATCAGCAGCTACTGCACATCACAAGACATCGGCGTCACACTCTCGGTGAGCTATGCAGCTTACCAACGTTTCATTCTGCTGCGCTTTGTACAATATGCAGGGCAATAACACAGTAAATAGTGCAGCTACTGAATCTTCAGCTGAGAAGGGAATAGACCATAGAAACAAATTGTGTTCAGAAGTATGTTCTTCAGTTAGATCTAGGTGCATTGACAGCACTGCTGAAGAGCCATGTCTGAAACTAAGGGGCAGTGCCATGGCATTTTCAGACTGTAACAAAGGTGGTTATAGGGGAAACAAAGAGCGGAGATCATTGTTTCCAAACTTTTAATTACTTTCCATAGCTTTCTGGAATTTCATTTCAGTTTTTCCCTGCTTTAGCTTTGGCCCTATTTCATAGCTGAGTGCTGAGAGGATATTACTTGTTCTAGCCAGCTGGTGAGAAGGGGTAGTGCTGGAGTATCATAAGCATATTGAAAGTGTCATAGGTTCTGTATACGCATTGAACAACAGTTGAGGAATCTTTGCACTGAATCATACAAAGTATTGTAGAAGCCCTCTTTTTGTTGAGAAGTGGGAATGGAGTATCAAAGGAGGGGTGGAGAGGAGAGCCATTCGAGTTAATAATGATGACTTGAGATGTCAGAATAAAGGCTGTGATGTCTGGTTTCAAAACCATCTGCTGTGGTGTTCATAGGCGCCAAATATTTGTGATTTTATGCAGAAAGTTCTCATGGAATGGAAGGGTTGCTACATTTCAGAACAACATTCATCTAATGGACTTCCCTTATTAGAGAGAGGCAAGTGTGATTTTCAGATTCCCTCATGCTATGCAATACTCCTTTTTACAGCTTTCGCACTTCACTTGGGTTATTACTGTTGTAGAAGGTGCAAAGTAAGACTGCATTGTGTGCTTATATTCCAGAATGGTGTACAGTGGTTAGAAGCAAAAACTCCCAGTTTTCATGGTGAAAAATAGTAACTTCAAACAGGAGTATGCTGCTCGTAAAATACCACTTAATATCTTTTCATACTCAATTAAAAGCAGGTAAGAGGAGAGGAAAGACTATATGTCCTATTGTCCCAAAGAGGTTTTATGGAGGAAGGGAGCAACTGTTTTTTGACTTGACCTCTCAGACCCTCAAGAAACAGGAAATACTTCCTATATGTGGGGTTTTGTCATTTTGTTTGTCTGTTTAAAATGTATATTTTGGATTTCTATCTAAATTTCTCCATTTGGTATTAAAATTTGCTTGCAAGTGAACTCTGAAAATCATTGACCAACGTGACTGCAAGTTTATTTGGTTAAGTTTCTTCTTAGGGAATACATCTACTTGCCTAACACATTCCTAAATACTTGGGTAAACTCACCTTTTTAATCCCTCCTACCTTCCTCGGTGTCGACCAGTTTAAATCCATTTTCATCAATAAATTGAGATCTTGAGGAGAATCAAGTCCTGTGAGTTTCATGGAAACAATTACTTGGATGGCTGAGAAAAACCCCCATAAGGGAAAAGGTTTTGCCTCTCTGTGAGAGGTGGTTCCATACAGGTGTTAGAAGTTACTCTTGCTTTTTTGTACGCGTAGTTTGTCACGTACCTTTTGGGCTTTAGATCAGAAGCTTTCCCAGTGTGAGGTGTCCCTGCCCATGGCAAGGGGGGTGGAACTTGATGATCTTAAGGTCCTTTCCAACCCTAACTATTCTATGATTCAATGATTTTGTGATTTAATAGAGAGAGGAGTTTTCAGTGGAGCATTAAGTTAGCCTTGATAAAAGGAAGTAACTTTTATTTCTGTGGTTAGAACATGGTATCACCAAGAGTTTGTGGAAGTGAAGAACTTAAGCATTTGGGATGTTTATAAATCTGGACAGCCCTTTTATCTTTGTAGTAGTTATTGATAAGAATGTTGAAAGGACCATAACAGCCTCTGCTTCAGGGTGTATGTCCACATTAAAGGGTGAAATAATAACTAACATTCTTTGGTAAATAAGATCTGGTTTGTGCCTTTTCCAAAAATACACGGTTTTGGCTGTGGTGTTGGATGCAGTTACAGAGGATATGGGAAAAAGCAGCCCCCCCCAGAACTTAAGATGTTTATCTTCTCGAGTCTTCTTTGCCACCTTATCTATAAGAAATAAGACAATGATGGCACTTCATCTTACAGGATGCTTATTTTGTAAGCTATGTGTTTCATTCACCTTTTTTTTTCTTGCTTCCCTCTATTTAATATGAAATAATAAAGCATGTTTTCAAGAGCCATTCATACAAGCTCCTCCCTCTGCGCTTGCTTTTACTTGTGATGAGCAGGTTCAAATCACTGCACATTGCATATCATATTGTTTGGCATCAGAGAGAAATTCTGGATAGGCAGACCCAAGGTGATCATGAAGCAGTATTGGGGGGGGGGGAATGTGCATGGTTTGGGAAGTTGCAAAGTTTGGTGCTTTGATCTACAGACTACAGCAGATTGTCCTGTGTAGCTTATGTAGAACAGTGCAGTCTTTTACATCCATCTACTTAAGTGTAAAATATAATTGCTTTGTCTATTAAGTATCTTCTAGTTAATGTTAGTATTGGCTGAAAATAGTGCATGGACTAACTTGTTTATTAAGTAGAAAGAAGAATTAAGAGTTAAAGCTGAAACAAGGCATTTTCTCATTACTTTCTCCTTCTTCCCCTTCTTGCTTTTGTCAAAAACTTAGCTACTGGAGATCTGGGAATCTTTTTTGTGTCAGGGTGCAAAGTGTTTCTTTTGGTCTTTTCCTTAGGTTGGCAAACAAGCAGGATAGAGAAGGAGCTCTGTCAGAAGCAGATGTAATCGAGTCCTTATCTCTGGAAAAGCTTGTCAATGAACACAAGTGTCTATGTCAAATTGTAAGTATATTTTAAGATTATTTGTTTTCTAATATATATGTACATCTTGCAATAAGGTAGGAGAATATGTCACATAGCATAAGACTGAAACTAAAGCCCTGCAATCCCAGCAAAGATACAGTACATACATCTGCTCTGCAGGCAATTCTCTGCTCACCTTGTTGCTCTGCTTCTGGATCTGTTGAAGAAATCTTTAGGAAAGGGATCCTAAAAGTGTACCTGCTGGTCCATTTTGAAACCATGTAAGAATAATTAGTTATTGATGTGGTTTCAAACTTCTTTAATTGGACAAAAAAGTTTTGTATTCCACCCTTTTAAAAAGAAGCAGGGAATGGAATTTGCCTGTGTTGACATCCAGGAAAGATCACTGTTCAGATATGATATGTGTCTCATTTTCATAGCTAAAACCATCATTTAGTCTGAGTCACCATCTGGCAAACACTACAAGCTTTATCTGATTCCGAGGGCATCTAATTCCCAGCGCAATAGTCACCAAAGAACAGTGGTAGAGCTGGTTGCTATGTATTTGTCCTAAAATACCTACGTTTCAGATGTAGCATTCACAGTCATGTTGGAAAAAAAAAACAACAAAATAATGACAAAGGGATGGGAGGATCTGTATGAAAGCTACTTGATATTGGTCTATATTTCAAATAACTTGTGTGAATTCTTAGTCCCTGAGGTTTTCTTTAAGCCTTTGTTTGAATGAACCAGTTTGTTAGTAATTACTTGTTGGCTTTCCTTTACTGATCCTCTTCTAATGGCAATAAGAAACATTTTAAGAGTTAACAAGAGTTTTGCTGTTACTACTCAAAATGAGAAGGCAGTTTTGCACAACTAGCCCTGGTATTGGGGTTTTAGCATTTTAAAAATACTTTTAACTCCTTAAGGAGAGTTGCAAAATTCACAGGGCAATGCATATTGCTATTATTTTCTCTAGAAAGCTGAGTTACAGCCGGGCACAGCTACGTTCATTATGTCATAACGCTCTGCATGCTTTTCCTCAGTCAGTGGCCTTTGCGTTATGCTTATGTGGCAGTCATAAAAACAAACCTTGTGAGTTTGCCTTTATTTATTCCAAGGGACTTCTGTGACACCAATGTTTTCTTGCAAAGCATTATCCATATAAAAGACCTGAAAGATTCTTGTGTGCTTCCCGGAACTTAGATCTTCTTAATTTATGACATGTTCCAATGAAATGCTGTTCTTGTCCTCCATTTATATCTTGGGTGTAATGAACAAAGAAACTAGATCACATGCTCTAAGTCATTTTAGCTGAAAGCAGCTGAGAGTCTCACATACTCAAATGGGCAGTGTCTTTACCAGGCGCATTAAAGGTAAACGTGGCCCCAAGTTATTTCAGTATGATGACTCATGGGGTGAATTTAAACAGGGGAGTTGTGAAAGAACATTGAAATAAAATCAGTTAAGGACCAAAAACCCCTTCTGTTTTTTGTTATTCTTTTAGTTTTCTTCTGGATCTTTAAATTTCCCCCAAAATATTAAACCATGAATATCATGACAATAGTTTTACTCCAGTCATGATGCATAATATTTTGCTTCACCCCTGTCCACAATACCTGTTCTGATCTAAAAACACCAAATTGGTGTCACAGCTTTTCTGAACCATTCACGCTGGATTTTATTTATCCCTTAGGTGCCTATGAACAAGTCGAAAATTTCTTTCATGAACCGAAGCCGAGCTGATTCTCTTGAATCTCATTTTTTCCATTTTACTAGATAAATATAACATGGACTATTTATAAATGAGCAGCAAAACAGAACATATATATTTGGGGTCGATAAATTATATTTCTAGATAGATGCATAGATGTAGACGTGTAGGGGACCAGGTGTGAAAATATGTATATAGCATGTGTATATGTAACAGCTATGTCTATATGTAACAAGTATATATATATATAATCATAGAATAGTTAGGGTTGGAAAGGACCTTAAGATCATCCAGTTCCAACCCCCCTGCCATGGGCAGGGACACCTCACACTAAACCATGTCATGCAAGGCTCTGTCCAACCTGGCCTTGAACACCACCAGGGATGGGGCATTCACAGCTTCCCTGGGCAACCCATTCCAGTGCCTCACCACCCTCACAGGAAAGAACTTCTTCCTTATATCCAATTTAAACTTCCCCTGTTTAAGTTTGAACCCATTACCCCTTGTCCTGTCACTACAGTCCCTGATGAAGAGTCCCTCCCCAGCATCCCTATAGCCCCCTTCAGATACTGGAAGCTGCTCTGAGGTCCAGAGATAGACATGCAAACATTTTTGTGTGCAGTACTGTAGTATTTTTGAAATGAGACTGGAAAGAATGGAAATTGGTGGAACTAATGTGATCTGTGTCTTGGCAAAAAATAAGCACCTAAACTTAGAATCCCTAAATACAAATTCACTTCCCATGCTTCTCAGTGTTTTGCAAGCTTCACAGTGAACAATAACTGTGCATCTGATTTCTTGGTTTATAATCAAGGAGTGCGATCGGAACTGTGTATGATTTTCTTCTCCTTTCCTTATGTTTTTACAGGAACCTTGCTCAGCCATCATGGGCTGTGGGAAAAAAATCGATAAATCAATCAAAAAGGGTTTATATTGGCTTCTACATATCATAGCAAAAGATTTTGATGCCTTAAACGAGCGCATCCAAAGAGACACTACGGAACAAAAGGCATATGAAGAACAAAAGAAACTAGAAAGAGCTGAGCGAGTGAGAAGGATACGAGAAGAAAGGTATTCTCTCTGCAATTTCTCCTACCTCCCCTTCCTCCCTTTCTCTAAGATACTTGATTCACTCCTATGCATAGAGCTTATGGGAACCAAGCTATCTAGGGTTTAAAGCTTACTGAGCATACTGAGTTTTTCTAGCAAATATGATTTCCTAACTGTTACTACATAAACTGAACAGTCTGGTACAAGTTCTCCTTTCTGCTTATTAGAATCTAGAGCTATGAGAAATTATGGAGGTGTTTTGAAAACAGAATAACAGGTTTTAGTCTGGTTTCCCACCACATAGATTTGAACATAAAATCCAAACCAAAAATACCCCAAACAACTGAAAACCTTGAAACAATGGTTATAAAAGATTACTAGTGTGAAAATCTCAGCATAGTGTTGAACAATCAAAACCTTCCAGTTACAGATGTATTCTGTCACGTATCTTGTCCTCAGGAACTGCTGCTACACTCTCAAGTGCTGATTGAACATTCTGGCACACTGCAGAGTGTGTTTCTACCGCTGCTGTAACACATACTCGTGCTTTATTGATGTTAGCCCCTGGTTAGCCTGCCATTGTGATTTCTGTAGAATGCTTTTCACAATACAGAAGCATGTTGTAAAAACCAGCTGCCACAAATCAGAGGGCGAGTTAGATGACCTAAGAAGTATGTAAAACAGCCTGGCTTCTTCATAATTCTTTGTTCATCTGCCCTTTTCCTCCCCATGCCTGCCCCCCAAAAACCCCAAAACGACAACAACATAAACCCCAAAACAACGATAAAGGGAAAGAGAAGAAGGAAGAAGTGTACCTGATGAGGAAGATCCTGAGCCTGGGAACTCTCAAAACCCCTTCCAGCCTATATCTGCTGTAATCTCTGAGGTATGAGAATATGTGGAAATCTGGATCGGTTTAGACCTACCACTAACAAATGTCTGAGAGGTAATGACAAAAATAGTTCACTTAAAAGAATTGTTCTCATCTCAGTCTCGTCAGTCTTGTTTTATGTGCATTGAATCAATGCTTTCATGTTAACAAAGTCCCCTGCTACTGATATGGTGACAAAAAGTTTTGTAGGCACGGTAAAATAAAGGTATTGTAAACAGCTGACTGAACAGGTTTCCTAATTAATAGATGCTCAGGGGTGGAAAATATTCAAGGTCTATTAGTTTCTTGGAAAGTGTTTTAGTGATGTAGTGAGTCATATAAAATCTCCCTGACTACTTCTACTATTGAGATATCTGAGCATAACCTGGTTTCTGTTGAAAACAGACACATTAAAAGTATATTAATATACAAAGTGCCTTTAATAGGTATTTCTGGGGTCAGGAAGTTCTTCTTTACTACACTGTATTTTATTCCGTTGACTTGAGATAACGTAATCTCAAGAAACACATAAACTCTCAGGAATTTTTCCAGTCAGTAGTTCAAACACTTGCTTCTCTCGAGGACAAAAGCGACCATATCCATGTACCTTGTACAGTCAGCTGCATGCACAGTAACCCAACTTATAGTAACGTACAGCGTAAGAAAAGAAGGGTATATCTGCAAGTATTGTGGAGACATTGATTCAGTGATATTGAAGATGTGAAGCAGCTTATCATTGAGTCTGTGTGACACAATTGGTGTTTGTCCAAATCACGGTGGCGATTTCTGCATACTTAAGCTCTGTGCATGTGTATTTTGTTTTAACTAAAACCACAATCCAACACATCACTAAAATAAGGAAGAAATTATGAGGCTTCTAACCTTCTGCTCAGGAATGTTGATGTTTTTTGCTCAGCTAGCTTATTTTGTCTTGTCATATGACCAAAAAGAAAGCAGGAAAACAGTCTATAAACCTAAAGATAATTTCTTTTCCTGCTAATATTTTGTCTTTTATAGATGTGGGATAGAACAGAAAAATATTTTAGGACTATTTTGATTTTTTTAAATAGTCTTCCTGTCTTATTAATCAGGTTACAGCATTGCAAGTTGTTAAAAAGATTCTTCTGCTTTTTGTTAGAATGAAAAGCAAATTGAAAAGGAAAAGAAGCGGCAAAGGTTGGAGACTGAAAAGGCTACAACTGCCCTGAAATCTCAAACAGAACAGGAACAAATGGATGGCCATCACTTATCAAGTAGCAGTAGCCAAAACACAGATGACAGTAGATTAGAAGCGTGCAATTCTGCAACTGCACAGCTTTTGCAGCATGAAGCAGAGAACGAGCAGCAAGCCTCAGAATGCCTAGACTCAGGTGAACCGCTTCCTTTTAATGTGTCATTTAATGTTATTTATCTCATAGTTCCTCCGTCTGTCTGTATTATTTTTCATGATGCCATATATCAGTTTAATCTACTGAAAACATAAAAATGCACTATTAGGTTATTGTATTGGAAAATCTGCTTTGAAAAAGCACGTGGTTGTTGGTGTGACTGATACTGTAGCTGAAACGACATTCGTTTTCATCATAGAATCATAGAATAGTTAGGGTTGGAAAGGACCTTAAGATCATCTAGTTCCAACCCCCCTGCCATGAGCAGGGACACCTCACACTAAGCCATATCACCCAAGGCCTTGTCCAACCCGGTCCATGGTCCACATTCCATCAGTACCAAGATGATTCAAATTCCTTTATGAAAGCAGAGAGTTTGCATATATTTTATGCTTACAATTTATTTTCTATAGCAAAATGTTTTATAAATTGTACATTTCATATTTTGTGTATAGACCTCATAGCAACCTTCCAGTATCTGAAGGGGGCCTATAGGGATGCTGGGGAGGGACTCTTCATTAGGGACTGTAGTGATGGGACAAGAGGTAATGGGTTAAAACTTAAACAGGGGAAGTTTAAATTGGATATAAGGAAGAAATTCTTTCCTGTTAGGGTGGTGAGGCACTGGAATGGGTTGCCCAGGGAGGTTGTGAATGCTCCATCCCTGGCAGTGTTCAAGACCAGGTTGGATGAGGCCTTGGGTGATATGGTTTAGTGGGTGGTGTCTCTGCTAATGGCAGGGGGGTTGGAACTGGATGATCTTAAGGTCTTTTCCAACCCTAACCATTCTATGATTCTATGATTCTATAAGTGTGGAATGAAAATGCTGATGTATCTCCTTGCAACAACTGGATTAGAAGTTGATCTAGGATAGTCTATGAATATAATTTGTGGTATGTAATGCTTTATTTCTGTTTGGTACAGATAACAGCAAGAAAAAAAGTAAAAAACCAAAATTAAAAAGGGGCCACAGAGTAGAACCTGTTAATACAGAGGATGCTGTTCCCAAAAATCCTACACCACCACCAACTCTTCCACCGGGTAAGTATACTAACAAACAATAATCAGTGTCTCAGTTTGTGGTTATTAATCCTTTAAAATACTCACATGTGCATGATGAAACTGGAATGGTCTTCAGAGATACGCTACTGTACCTTACTCTCTAGGAAATTTTTGATGCAGTTTTCCACTTCATGGTATAGACTTTCAGCACTATTGGTTTGATCTACTCCACGCAGGAAGATGTTGTTATTTTCACCATAAAAAAAGTCAGAGACTTGACTACTCACTGATGAAAAGTGATAAAAATATCAGTATTTTAAGGGTAAATCAGTTTATTTTTAAAGTATTTCGTCATTATTCACTGTATATACAATATATTACATACTTCTGGCATTTCTAAATGCTTTCATTTCTCCCAAAGAGAATTGGCTTCCATACATTTTGTCAGAATCAAGTGCAGTCGTGCCATGTTTTGACTGTCTTTGTTTTCCTTTAGTTGGCTGGGGAACTCCCAAACTTAATAGACTTCGAAAACTTGAGCCTCTTGGTGAAACACATCATGCTGGTAATTGAAAATATTTTGGATTTTGTACCTTTTTGAAGCATTTTCCATTGTTTTATTCACTTCTACATTAATTTCATTCTTCATCTCTTTTTATTTTTATATTTATTTCTTAGTGCCAATTTTCATTGACCAAAAGCTAACCTTTTTTGCTTAGTAGAAAGCATCTTTTTGATTTTTCAAATCTTATTTATTTATTTTTTTTTACTAAAAAGGGTTAGTTCTCTCATAAAGATTCACATAGAGAGTTTAAAGTGGCACAGACAGCAGAACCTATTAATGACCTGAAGTGATTTGCACAGCAGCATTTACCTAATGTTATAATGTGCCATATAGCAAAAAGCAACAGGGCCGGTTACTTTGAGTCCAAACACACATTACATTCAAAATGAAAATTTCAGTGTGTTTTTCCATTGTCCTTATGTGGGCAGTTCATCGTTACCTGATGCCATGAGCACAGGAGCTGGGTTACCTGGATACTGGAAAAGGTCTGTGGCGCTGCAGAAAGACCTAAGCAGAACTGCAGAGATGCAGCGGGGCTTATTAATTTGGCATCTATAGTGGCTCGTCCACATTCAGGCTGATCCTGCACTAAGCTGCCTGTTTGTTTCTACGCTGATCTTATAATCTGATGTGGAAGGGCTAATCACTTTACAGTGCTGAACCCAAATGTGCTCCATGTATTTCTGTAGTTCTTTGAAGCATAGCCCCACATGCAGATGAATTTGCTGTGTGTAAGCTGACTCCTTGTGTTGCCTCTTGAGATAGTCCAAAATTTCTTCTACCCAACACTATGGTTTCCATATGATTTTAAAAGCATAGTCTGTAAGAATTTTGTCATTGATTTGGGGGTGTTTTCTTGAGAGAAGGAAGGATAAAGACGTGGGAATCTCTGAATTAAATGCATTATGATAGCTAGGCCAAAAGAGGGACTGCAATCCCAGCTATGAGGAAAAGCCCAGCATAAATTTGATGGTGAAAGTAATGAGACTTCCAGCTGAAAACTAGGTTATTGGTCTGCCAGGGCAGGTGTTAGTGATAAAGCTTGGAATCTGCTGCTTTACCTAAAGAAGAGTATCCTTGAAATTTCACAAGCTGGTAGGAGAAATGAGTTTAATAACTGGAAATGGTAAGGTGTAGTAGGCAGAGTCATGATTTCTCTCTTCAATAATAACTATTTTCTGGTTTTGAAAGACCATGTAACATAGTTTTTTTTGTATGGTCATTGTTTTTTATATGCTCATATTCCATCTTTTTCTCATTTTTGGATGGTAATGTCTTCATTTTTCTTTTATTTTTATTCTTCAAATTTTGAAAAGCCAAGTGAATATGGAGACATCTGGAGGAATATGAGAGGAGGGTAACCAAACTAAAGCAATGAGATACACAAGTTGAACAAATAGAACATTAATTGAGGAACTCATAGAGAAAGGAGCTCAGTGTGGCTGTAGTGATCCTTGAGCTTAATTCTGGCTTGAATTGATAGCACTGCTATCATGTAGTACAGCACCATGTGGACAAACCTGCTGAAGTTCTGAAGAACATGGAGTTTCTCTGCCAAAGAATCAAAAGAGCCCTAAGGGGGAGTTAAGATCTCTAAACCCTAGATCTTTATTTTTTGCAGAAACATAATGAAAGTGCATAAAATGTAATTTATAGTCTTAATCATAAAACCATCTTGCTCTTCTTTTTTAAAGGCATATAGAGAGAAGGCGGCAAGAAAGAAAAGCCAGACAAAGAGGTAGGGAGGGGGAGAAAGGGAAGAGGTGGTACTCTGTTTTGATCTGTGCCTAGGGGAGGTGTTACCTTTTGTAGCAATAGCATGGGTGGGACAAAGAGGGAAAAAACCCCCAATGCTTAAGCTAGGTTCCCTACTCACAGATGTGTAAGTTAGCAACCTGAGATCTGTGTTAATGTAGTCCATTCGTAAAATAAGGATAATAATTGGAATGTTTTGGAATCTAATGATGGAGAAGATGTTGGTAGGGAAATAATCTCTTGATTATCTCTATAACTGTTGAGAGCAGATGAAATTTGGAGTGGGTTTTTTTTTGATTCTCTGAAGTGCACTTTTTTCTACAGCAATACTATCATTCTGTTGAAGAATTGCTTTGACGGTTATTGGCCAAGTGGTTAAAAAGTCTTTGTATATGGGGCAAATGAGCACCTACCTTCATGTAGACCAGGCTGAAAAACTCAGTTCCAGTAGGATGCCTAGTAGATATTTTTGTCAGGACTCCAAATAAAATTGTAAGAAGTGTCCATAAGAGCAAGGAAAGAAAAGAAGTATTTAACAGTCTGCTTTTAAAAGGTTAAGGAGCCTTGGTTATGCACAGAGGTTATTTTCAGGAGTACTCTCAAAGTCTATGTCCCAGATTGTATCAGTGAAACAGTTGATAGCTCCCCAATGTAAGTCAACCCCTGAAGCTTCAAAACAGATAGGACTTTTTGCAGTGTTGATTTCTGCTAGTCCATAGAAACACATGGGAATAGGTGTTTCTCAGTATTCCCATGAATTCTAACCTGGGTCTTTTTCAGTCAGGATAGCACTTACTCCTTTGGTTTTGTCTTAAATATGATTTTTTGGAAGTGTCACAAATATGACTTAGACCTTGCTGCTGAAATGTGTAAATTAGTGCAGTGTGTGAGGTTAAAACAACCTCCAAAGGGCTGGGTTTTAATGCTAGGTGTTTTCAGAGGCATAAATCTGTCTTAGTGATTTAATGTGCAAACTGAAAAAGTCAAGTGGTTTTACTACATATACAAGGCTATTTAGTACATACATTAACTCGGTTTTGTGTCATTCTTAGCAGAGAACATTATGTTGGATGTTTAGGCAGAGTTAGCAGGCAGTGGAGTCAATTAGAGAAATCTTTAATTATACACTTATTTTCACTAAAGACTGCAATTTTTCCAGTCATGCTAATGATTTTAGCACAACACTGGGTAACGAGTGTCTGTTTATTGTCACTGGAGGATATATTTGCAAGAATGATAAACCTCTCTCATTATAAGAGGTAAAATTGCCTGCCAGTCCTAAAGCCAGCCTTCAAGAAACTGACTAATCAAACATCCATTGTGCAAGTTTTCATTTACACTATAACCATTTGGTTTGGGATTTTGTGTTGGCAGGCCGTCAAGGCTTTGTTAGGGAGGAGGTTGTCTGTATAAGCAAAATTGAGATTTGAATGCTTCAAAAAGCTGCTTTTGTTTTTTCTTGATTTCTGCCTGTTTCCTCTTACCATCTTTCATGATACTATTTTGCTTGTGAAATGCTTGCATGTACCAGTGTGCATGTTGGGATTTTTTCACTCTTAGATCAATCACAAATGTATGAGAATACTCCTTATTCTCTTCTGGTGCGTTTAATAACTTTGTCTTGAATGATTTCACTACTTTAAACTCCTTTATAGAGAAAAGGAAACATTGCACTTTCATCTAAAAATTCTTAATATAGCTATTTCAGAAAGTTATTATGGCTTTTCCAGACAGATGCTCACCCTAAACTCTGGGTGCTGCATAGCGTTACTGTCACTTAAAACTTCATTGCAATGCAGACTTGACTACAGCAACATTCAAATTTTGATACCTCATTTCTTCATTTGTTACTTAGACACTTTGGATGTCATTTCCTATTTTTAGGAATGTTTACAGGTCACCTTTGGGCTTGATCTTGAAAATGCTGATGCATGTATTCAAAATGTAATTAAACCCTGTTTTGGCCAGTATACCTCCAGACATTAACCAGCACGATGTCTGAAAGTTGCTGGTAGGAATTAGCTCTAAAATTGCAGGTCACCTTGTTTTCATTAAGAAAGCAAGAATTTACCTTATTTAAACACCCTTTAAGCAAGAGAGAGAATAAATGACAGATTAATGTGGGGTTTTTTTCTCTGCTGTTTCTTATACAGATTTCTATGGAAAGCCTTTGCCCCCACTGACTCTACGCCAAAGACCCAACAGTGATACCCACGATGTCATTGCTTAACTGGATCATAAACAGCATTTATAAAACATCATCCAAATATTATTTCAGAAATATTTTTTTTTTGCTCTTGAAGGGAAGTTTAAAAAATCACACATTTATCAGCTGGCTACAGAATAACTTGGTGACAATTAAACATGGAGTTTGTTCTGTCGTACTTAGTGCATCGGACTGTCATTTACTTTTCTCATCACCAGCTCTTCTTCAGATTTTAGCAGGAAATCAAAAAAGGTCTAGGTTTCCATGGATGCTCCTATGAACATGGTACTGAATATTTATTGGGTTTACTTGCGAAAATACATAGCTGTAAACCTGAAGAAAAACATCTTCAGGATCACCTAATACTGGATTGTACGTTCTCACCAAGGTCTGTCTCGAGGTGCTGCACAGTTGTTGGTATTTTTACAGCTAATAAGTTATTCTAAACCGTTTTGTAAGATTCATGTATGTTAGGATGAATATAGGAAAGTTATGCAAAAAATATTGAGTATATTTTTCTAACTTTTTATAAAATTATTTGGAAGTTTGAGAGGACACATATACCTGCTACCAATAAAACAATAACTAGGAAGCATTAGAAAGCTGATAGTCAAGTGCATACAAATAGAGTATGCTTGACTCTTACATTTCTCTTAAGTAGCAATACTTTTTATTAAGCGTTACATTACCAGATGCATATTTCATATTTCTGGCAATCTGAGGGAGGGGGGAGGAAGGTAGAAAGGAAAATTTAAGATAAATACTTTTTATACAAACAATGCTATTTGGATTGTCTGAACGTTTTCTTATGTGTTGTTTTCTTTGTTTTGTTAACCAAGTTTGCCATAGGTAATAAACTCACTTCAAAAAGTAGAGCTGAATATCGTATTGTCAACTAAAACACACGGAGATTGCACATAGTGAAAGTTTTTTGCACTAATTCAGTCACCAGTTTTGATGGAAAACTGAATCGACCACTATGCAGATAAGCTCCGGTTGTTTTTAATCTTAATAATACTAAAATACCATCTTGAAAACGAGAGAAACCCGAGATTTTTAAGGACTTCTATAATACTTCCATGCAATATGTCAATATTACATTAATCAAATCACAAAGTGCATATGCAACAAGGGTTACAGTTGGACATATTCCTATTTGGTTTTCCTCTTACACTGGAGACAGCCATTGGTATATTGTGTAAGGGTGTATTGTTATGCCACTTACCTTTTTTTACAGCAAGGATAAAACCCCATTCAAGGGTTTTTCGAAGAAGCAGCACTTGATTTTCTGTTATGCTCTCAGTCTTCCATAACACGCTATTACCAAATGATTTCAGTAAATGTTAAAACAACGCAATGTATATATTCAGCACTTAGACATTAGAAACCTTTGCCACGCACCCCTTACGGCAATGAGTTGCACAAATAAACATCTACCAATGAATCAAAATGCAATTATTCAGATTTTTAAAGAGGATGATGGAGTGGGGGAAGAGAAAATCAGTCTTAAGAATATGAGTTTGGAATAGGTGGAGAGGAATATTCCAAGTTTGCCAATTTAGTTTAAGGATGAAACAATTTGCATGTGACTGTCAGCATGGGAATACTTTTGTTGTATTCTAATAGTGTCACATGGTTCGATTGGATTATTCTCAGGATTTAGTTATTTTCACTTCAGACAAACACAATATTAAGTGGAAGGGGGACACACACCATAAAAGTTTATGTGTGCAATCTCAATCTTACTCTTTAGCTATGTTTCCACTTCATTTTTTTGGCATAACAGCTTTATTTTGTCAGGCTTGTATATATATATATATATATATATTTAACAGCTCCAGTTTCTAGAACTGTATTACCCTTTTCTTTTAACACGCACCAAAAATAAATTAATGGAAGTCTTTATTAAAAACCTAAAGCTAAATACTGCTGTGGCAACAAAATACGAGAAACTGAAATGTAAGGTGTTGATACTTACATGTGAAACGTGTGTTATGTGTGCTGTGTGTGCGGACACATGTATCGGGTTTGTTTCAGCTTTTAAAATAAATGGTACCAATATATCACCAAAGTACTCAAAGATTTTATTAATATGCTCTGTAATTATTTACCAGAGTGGGTTTTTTTTCAGTAATTTATACTACCTTGACTTTTTATTTGCTCAAGACATTTATATATAGAATAACACTAATGCACAGTGTCAACATGTTTCCCACATGAGCATAAATTCAGTTTTTTGGAAGCAAGTCTGGTCATAAATGTTTAATAGCTGCAAGTCTCATTTATGTTGCTAAAATGTACCAAATGGAGACCTTATAGAGAGAATCTTTACATGGTTTTACAACTGCAATGTGGTCATATTTGTATTATTATCCATTAGGTTTAGCTTCACATCTGTGACGTGGTCTCTCCATGTAAATCATGCACAGTGAGGGGCACTCATTGAGGTGAGACAAAAGCACTATGATTTTAGAGGAAGCTGTTTGATAATCTTGTGATTCTATTTCAATTCCACAGTTCTGATGGAGAATTAGAAAGCCTTAGAACAAGTACGTGCAGTAGACAGCTGGTGCCAGCTTTCTAATGCCCCTCTTGTGAGCCCTGGTTACAAGGAGCAAGATGGAAGCAGCAGAGGACACCCACAGCGAGGCCTGTGTAATAGGCAACCCTCAAGCACATCCATCACCCTGTTGGCTATCAGTGTAGCCATGGAAGCCCTGTGCAAGAGGATTTGAGCCCTTGGTATTGCTCACCTTCTGGGCTGTGGACTCCATATGAGCTTTATAAAGGTGGTGGTGATTATCCTTTCCTTGAAACTCTTAAGTACCATACCTCTATCCTCTAGGGGCCTATATGACACCTGAAAATGGATTTATCAAGTTTGCTCTTTTAGATTACTTTTGAAATAAGGTTGCCAGAAGTGGTCTCATGACAATTTTCTTCTCCAGTAAGAAACCAGTCTATATCCTGAGAATAGTTGTTTCTGGAAATAATGATGTCATATTAGAAAAGATTGATGGCCAGTAACAAAGCAAGCAGCATAGGTGCTTTTTCCCCCCCTTTAGATAACATTCAAGCAGTATTTATCCACTGAGGTGTTCTAGTACTTCATTTGAAAGCTTAGTACTGTAAGTTCAGGATAACTTACATTGCCGTGCTGTCCATTTAGCTTCCTGGCTTCTGGAATTCATTCAACTTACATACTATATATATTTACATCAATAGATGCATCTGTAAATGGAGTGAGGAACCATATTCTTAAAGTAAGTGTAATCTGAGACAAGTTTATCTTTGGATAGAAGAATCTTTCTCTTGTCTGGTTGGTTTTGTGCAGGTTTTGTTTTGTTGATTGGTTTTTTTTTCCCCCATTTTATCCCCCTGCTGTTTACATAAGCTGTATTTTCTTACTTAGGATTGCTTTGGCAACTGTTTTATAGTAACAAAATCTGTGCTTTCCAGAAGATTTTAGGAAAGTGGATGGTGGAATGGTTAGCAATTTTTGTATACTCCCCAGCGAATATGAACTTAAGATCACTGTGAATTCTCTTCCCATTGGACTAGCAGAAAGATTGAGAGAGGACAATCTTGAGTGAGAATGAGTAATGAGATAAGAAGTCTTTGCATCAAGCAAAGTATGTGTGAAGACCAACAAAGCCAAGTGGAGTTTAATGTGGGGCTCAAACCCATAAGCCTGAGATTAAGACTTTCATTATACTGTTGTGGTTTTAGCTGAGATAATCTTAGCTGGTACAATGCTGTGTTTTCAATTTATTATGAACATCATGTTGATAACCTCCAATGTTCTCATTGCCAAGCAGTGCTTACCTGAAGTCAAGGACTTTTCAGTGCTCTGCCAGTGAGGAGGAGCACAAGATGGGGAGGGCTTCACGCTTACCTGAGCTGTGCTACTGAAATAACAATGCACTGATAGGCTACTGGATAATAGACTGAAGGCCTGAAGAAGGAGATTTGGGATTTTGAAGCATATACATACATATACACATTTTCTTCAGAAGGCAGTAGATTTTGCAGACCTCAAACAGAAGCTTAGTCATGTTTGCATTTGCTAATGCAAAAGTGTCCTAAAACTTATGGTCCTTAAAAAGTTTCCCAAAGAGTACTTAATGCCAGTAGCGTTAATTTACATGATCTTCTAATCTACATATTGTGTATCCTACAAGTCATACCATCCATGACTTTGATCTCCCTGAAACCTAGCAAGCTTTTTCTAAGTCTGTCCTAATAGAACAAACAAGGTGAATATTGTTTGCCTGTGTATTCCTAAATTACTATATAATAATAGCATAGACTCGATTGCTGCTTGCTCCAGAAAGTGTGGACACCTGAAACTGAACAGTGGAAGTCACAGTAGTGGCCTGGCTTTCCTGTTCCCTAGGCTTGGAGGATGTTGATGCACTTGGTGTTACTTCTGAATGTTGACTTGTTATTCAAGACATTTCAGCCATCGTCCACTCTGAGGAGACAACAGGGCATACACCGCGTCCTCTTCCTTTGTTTTCCTGAAAGCCTGGACATGCTTAGGAAACACAAGCTTGAAATAAGGTAACTTGTGTTTAAAGGAAATGTGTTAGCTTGAACGAGCTGTGCACTGAGGTCATAGAGGAGTTCTGGAGATAACGAATTTCACAGCTCACTGTTTGAGATCTAACAGGGCACCCAGGGATGTACATGGTCACTCGGCATGGCAAGGGTAGCTGCTTAGGTGACAGATATCACATTGGTTTGGGTTGGTTTTTATTAAGAGGAACAGCAGCCTGCCTTTCAAAATGTACTGGTTAATCCCCACCGAGCCAATCCATCTCTTCAGTAGCACACGAGGCAGGTTCGCAGTCACATTTTTACTGTGCTGTTGCAGTTCACCTGTTTGTGATGGGGATGTTGGCAGTGAACAAGCCACGTCCGTGAAGTCCTATCTTCTGATGCATTGCAAATCTTACTGGTTTCAGATGCATTAAACAACACCGATGGCACCATCTACAAGTGGAATATAACCCTAGACTCAGGGCAAGGTGGCTCATTCAGTGTACTTCTTTGTTTTATTGCGTGACAGCCTGGACATTGAGTTTGTCTTAAACATGGCTTACATTGTGTAGCGTGAGAGCCAGGAAACTGAGCTTGTCTCAGGCACCATTTACATTCTACCGTAGGAGGCCTTGCAAGAATTAGCAAACAATAAGGATGTTAGCTCTAAACACAGCGTAGACAGGATAGTTGTGACCCCTTTGTTCAAAGGTGATAAGCCTCCTTTCAGGTCGTGACATATGGGTATAGGAAAATTCAAGTATTGTATGTATTTTCTTGTATGTCACTGGTGTCGGCAGAATTACAGCCACAGAGAACTGTACTTTTAATACCAGTTCTGTGTCTGTTGGTACAACTCATTTAATAAAAAGCCTTTCTGCTATCCTTTCACATTTGATACGTAAGAGGCCTCCATTGTATTCCTGGCTTTTTGTCAGGATCCTGATTGAAATATTCTAAATAAGCTTTCAAGTTTGATGGTCATTTGCACAAGGTTTGCATAAATGTCCTTAAGTCTTCATTAGTCAGTGCCTGAAACTCAAATATTTATCTGTACGATTGCACTCCTGCCTTTACCTTTGCACCCCTTTCCAGCCTGGATTTCAGAGGCCAGTTTCACCAGGTGGAAGCTGCATGGGCAGACTTTAATCAAAACCACTGTTAAACAAGGGGTTGCTCTTGCTGAACGGGTTGCAAAATCCCAATGGGCATAGCAGGCTTCCAGTATCTGAAGGAGGCCTATAAGGATGCTGGGGAGGGACTCTTCATAAGGGACTGTAGTGATAGGACAAGGGGTAATGGGTTCAAACTTAAACAGGGGAAGTTTAGATTGGATATAAGGAAAAAGTTCTTTCCTGTGAGGG